TACTAATGTACATACTATAGTAGGTCATGTGTATCATAAAATATACGATATATATACTACTTATGTGCTTACACACGTGTATTTTTATTTATTTCAAGAATCAAATCGTCTGTACGTCATATAATTCTAAACATGTATACTAATAATAGTAATAAACATTATCCACCTTTATTTTTAACTGGAGTAATATTACTACATAAGTACGTAATACAGACGTCCATGGCTTTAAATGAAACACATAACTTATAAATATTTCGAAACTTCTTGTTGTATAGGTAAGTACTTATAACACTGATGCTGTATCATCAGTCGACATTCAATTACGATTTTATTTTATAAGTAGTAACAATGAAATTAAATCATAATATTATTATATAAATAGAAGTGTAAATATTTGTTTTTACAGTCGAATATAATTGGGATGTCGAGAAAATAATGTTTATTTTTATTTTTGGTCAGTTATAAATTATAGTAATATGTACCTGCAGTTTATCAACACATAAGAACATACAGAGTCATTATTTTACACTCATTATACAATTTATATATGCCTTGCAATAGTTTCATAATGAAAACGAATAGTTTTAAAGGGGCTAAATCCCGACACTCGAAAAAAAATATAAAATTTATATATTAATCTAATATTGCTGTGTAACTAAAAAAAAAGTGATTTCATAGCAATTAAAATCCATCCAACCAATCACCTATTATACTATTCAAACTCTACGAAACAAGCTAAAATATTATTTTTATAATAACACTAAATATTAAATACCATTGGAATTCATAAACAAAAAATCGATATTAAAAAACATGCTACTTACAATATAGTGTGACATTAAATATAACTTATATTTATTTAGCGATTTTCGTTCAATGACCTAAAAAAATTACCGATGCCTATTGGATAGGTACAATAATTATAAAACGCTTATTAATGAATTACTAGGGAAATTAATTTTATTTTTATAAAGGATTATTAAAATTAATTTATCTTATAGACAGAAAAATAATTTTTGAATGTTAAATTTTATAAAACGTATTAACTATTAATTACTATACATAAATATTTATAATATAATAATTATAATAATTTATGACTGAATAATGGTAGTGGCTACTACCTCATTGGTGTTCATTTTATAACTAATATCACGGACTTCACATAGTCAAATTTGAAATAACATTGAATAAAATTTAAAGAAGTTAAATTTTTTAAAAGTGGGACAAATAATGTAACATTCTAAAAGGGGAGGGGGACATATATTAAAAAAAAAAAAAGGAGACAATTCTTTCTAGTACGAGATGTCTAGTCACACTAAATTACATATTCGACATCACCGAGTCTAATAATATAATATTACTAAAGATGCTATAATCAGCTTTCGATATATATTTTGTACCTCCCGTTAATAATACATTGTTTTGTTAATAAATAACTAATGACTTATACATGAATCTGATCATAACTTAAGGTTTTATCAAGCTAATTTTATGTCTAACACCAGTTGCTATTATTATTTTATGTTAATTATTATTCAATTAGAGGCATAAACTATAAAACCTTACTAATTATTACTAATAATTTAATAAACAAGTTATTACTAACATTAATATTTTGTTGTAGATTATTGTTCCTAGTCAATCTATTTTGAGGTTATAACATCGTATCATATACAAATTCAAAATAAAATATTTCCCGGTATTTGGGGGGGGGGGAATAAAAACGATGGCATATAGTATATGGACACCAGATACATACGATTACAGACGTTATAAACGAATTAGGCGTTTTAGGGAGTATTACAAAAAGTTCATTAAAATGAATTTTAGGCATCAAGAGGATATACTAGCATTTTTTTTTTTTTTTTGTTTATTTGACTTATACAATTTACACAGTATTTAGTATAATAAGCATAACAGATGGTTAGAAAGAGAAAACAATATAACAGAGGGACTTGAGTGGAGAAACTGCCCAATGTCGACACTCCGGCAAATACTAAAATATACTACATAAATATTATTAAAGCGAAACATTGTCTATATATTATTTTTAAAATTACACTCAATAAATGAATTAAAATATGTCAATAAATGAACATTTACCTAATACAAAAACATTAAAACATATCTAAAAATCTATAAGCTTATCTGTCATCTCTAAATTTATTAAAGCTATTCAAATGAATTATATGAAACAATAACATGGTGTTTTAAATTTTCAAAAGTAAACAATCTTCTGTTTGACCTTAATAGATGTTTATATTTGCTAAAATTTCGCTTGACATCACAAGACTTAAACTTTGTTACTTCTCCAGTAGTTGTATTTGAGAAATCTTTATATAGAATGTTGCCATTTAATATTTTACGTATAGTAGACACAGTCCGGTATTTTTTAATTTTTTTGTTGATTTTTTCAGCAACAGGTTCATTGTTTGGCCAAGTTTAATTTTAGTGTTTACGATTTCCAAACTCTCATCGAGTAAAAATGAGGCATTTCCCAATTTTAATATAAATTGTAAGATAAAGCCAAAGTTACATTTTATATAAGCTAAATCATTTTGTATATTTCTATTTTTAAATAAAGCAATACCATTCTTAATCGATTTCGTAGAACTTTCGTTTGAAGACAAAAACACCGATTTTGTAGAGTTGAAACTATCAACACGATGCAGCTTCTAGCCAAGTTCTCCATAGAATAAGTATAGGCGTGGAGGCAAAAATAATTTTAGAAATTTGACCACACTCTTGTGTAAACCATATGCCACACATGTTACATGTTTCATATTAGGAAAGAATACAGTTGGAGAATCGGTCGTTTTCACCTCATATACCGCAGCATTAGTTAAAAATAAAAAAAAATTATTATATTTAATGTCGATGAACCAAAGTATATTCAAAGCATTGAGAAATAATTTTCTTACAGTTTTGATAATTGCACTTTGTATGTTCGTTGCATAATAAAAAATATGACTTAGAATATTTATCTACATATAAAAGACCAGCTAAAACATAAGTTACGTGCCTTACGTCAACGTATGTAGTTTCATCAATTGAAACATATATATATTGGGCCTTTAAAATTTTTATACGAATACAATTGAATACGGTAGCTCAGGTTGTAATTTAAAGTAAATTAAATAAGACTTAATTCTTATTAATTTTACTTTTATTCGCATATCGAGTGGCTACGTCTCGTGCTTACATTTAAATGGTTTTACAATAACTGAAGATAAGGTCCGATCGTCTGTCCCGAAGACTGCTGTATTGGATATTACATAATCTCACATTAAATTTTATACTGATAATCTTTATTATATTTCCTAATTAGATAGGTACAAAATATCTTACGTACGCAACAACGGTCAATTACTTTATTGTAAAGAAATGATAGGTACACTTTTTTTTCGGATTGTAGTTTGATGGGGAATATGTTTACCAATATATTTTTGCAAAAATGGGTTAAAAGTTGTATTATGCAATAGCCATAAGAGGATAATATTATCAGCAGCTAAAAATGCACGACATAAATCAAGAGAAACTCTGATTTCTGATCTTCGAATGAGTCTTCTATAAATATTTGATTGATATTTTCTTTTTTGTTGAATTACTGAGGTGTTTTGCTGTACTTAATTGTTGAGTTACTTGAAAGCGCTTATTTGATGAAATTGTTTGGTCATAAATATTACAGAAAAGTTTTAAAAACTGTACTAGAAAATTCTTCGACGTATTGTCGAAGTTTTGCACCGGCATTTTGTATTTTTGGGATTTTACGAAATTAATATAGTTTGCAAATTGCATAGCAAAGTATTTCCACACACGCGATATACGACAATGATTTGGTCAAAACTCAAAACATATGCTAAATAACTACTACCTAGTCTATAATCCAGTAAAGTAATTTATTGTTTATACATTGACAATACAATAGATAACTTTCTACTTTCAGCATACAAGTTTGCGACGATAAGATAGATCAATGTGCTTTTATACAATGATGAAATAAATTGTAGCAAAATATACCATAAAACGTGCATTTTTTGTATTTTTGTTGTTAAAATATGCAATAATATTCATTTTTTTCTTCAAATTATGCAAAATACGCACTTTATATAAAGTAAAGAAAAAAACATACCAAGGCATATAAGTCATAGCTAAAGAGCGGATTTTTAGGTTCTTAAATGCTTAAAATATGATGTTAATATGTTCTCAAAAAACCCTAAAATATTCTCTAAATATTCCTTAAACTTGTAAATATGAAAATAATATGATTTGTTTTTTCTCCAAAATAATTCAATAAAAACAATAAATAATTCATGTACCATTCCTTTTTGGTAACATAAAATATTTAATTATAAAAAATACAAAACAGTTCATAGGTATATGAATATAATGAAATATATTATATAAAAACAAAATAGTTTAATAAAAACAATACATAACTTGCATGGCCTTTAGTAACAGTTAAGTTATTTAACTATAAAACATAAATCAGTTCATACTTAGTTACCTTTATAAATATAATGAAATATTTATAAAAAAACAAATAAAATTAATAAAAACAAAATTAATTCATACTTAGTTACCTACTAAACTATATCACCATAAGTCGTAAATACTGTATCATTTGTTTTATTATACGGCTTTGTTACGTTTATGTAAATATTTTAAACTTTTATTAATTTTCGGTATTTAAAAAAAATAAAAATGAATATTAAACATTAAACTAAATCGTCAGACATTAAAGTTAAAATAATAAACAATATAAAAGTGAAAATAGATTTATTATTAGAAATCATTCTTATCGCGTTATTATAAGATCGTAGGTACAATCATGGATTAAAAGTAACAGAATGATCACCATTACCAATTTGATAACAAACAAGTAGATAATTGGATGATTTTTAATTTTTATCATTCTTATAAAAAATAATTTTTTTCCTAGAAAAAATTGTTGCTGGAAAATATTACAAATCGATAAATTAATAATGTATAATATAATTTTTTATGAACAATAATAGAATATATTCTAAAATATGCTTTAATATGCCAAATAAATTTTTTCTTACGAACTCTGTGATGGATAAGTCGTCCACGTTTTTCACTCTCATAAAGCTGCATAAAACCAATAAAAATATGTAAAAACCTAAAAATCCGCTTTCTAGTCATAGCCCTACTTATAAGCATGTTATATATTTGCTTAACTCAAAATATTTAAAAAGATATTATTAAATACGTGTTTTTAATTATTCATTTTTCATAATTAATTGTATTATAAACATGAAAATCATTAGTAAGAATGCACCAATAAGTATTAATAATAAAATTGCCAAGCAAAAGATTATAAAATCTAATAAGATGGTTAATGCTGTAAATATATACTCTTTTGGAGAAATTGAATACTTATGATTACCACTAATTATCTTTTGGGTATCATAAATAAGAAATGAGGAAAATATGATTGCTTGTAAAGATGCACTTATGAATGTTATCAATATATCAGGGAAAAATATAGAAACAATAAATGCACTTAGTATAATTACAGGAATTATAGCAGCTATTAATAAAAAACAACCCTTAACTGTAAATTCTATTTTAGTAAGAGAAGCAATTATTATAAGAGCAAAACATATTAATATCATTAAGCCACTAGCCATTATTATGTCATTTTGTTCTGCATATTGATATGAAAAGAATATTTTTGTTACAGATTCAGCTAGGGTGAATACAAACAAAAGAATAAAGTTGAAAGGACTCTTGCGATATAATTCTACAAACCAAAACCTTGCTATTAAAATCCCAAAAACAATCAAACATGCAATAGTATTAAACCATTGATTTTTTTTAATAAAATGCTTAGTTTCCCCATAAAAACTTGCCATAGTCACAATCATTAATGTGATTAGTAGGTTGCACATTACAATACTGTAAACTTTACTGAAAGGATAAAAAATAAAATCTATTAATATCATACACCTACCATAATTTATCAATAATTTATATTTACCAAATGAAGTTTTTATGTATAGTTTTGTTGCTAAAGTCAAAATTTTCAGGTGAATTAAAACTATTATTTTGTGAATTATCTGGTATTCCTTTTTCGCCATTTGTATGTGGAGGAGGGTGTTTGTCTACAGAAAGATAACCACCATCAGCTTTTAGGTATGGTGCACCTTGTGGATAATATCCAGGTGGAGGTGGAGCTAAAAAAAAACACGCATCATTGTAAAATCAATACATTCATCAGAATGATAAGCAGAGTGTTCAGAATCTAAAATGTATCATCAATTTTATCTATGACAATTTAGTAAATAATTGAATTGGTTATTACTTATTAATTAGAACACTAGAACAGCAACCTTAAATATAATAGGGATTATAATATTAATGTATAGACAAGATATTCATAAAAGTTAACTGGTATGCATCTAGTATTACCAACATTTTAAGACAGTAATGCGTAATCTATGTTGTATTGAAACTTTTAACATTTAACAATAAACATTACACAGATCACAAAAATAATTAACCTAATTAATCTTAAGAATAATAAGTGTTTTATATCTCCCTTCTAAAATTTAGTGATCTCTAGATTGCACACTAATCATAATTTATTCAATTACAGAAAGTGATTACTGGATTAAAAATAACAAAACAATTTACAACATAACTGATATTTTTTTTTTTTTTTTTTTTTTCCCGGGCTTTTACAGGCCCTTAAGGCCCATCGCCGCAACAACATATTGTTTCCATTCTTCTCTATCATTTGCACATTCTTCTGCGTTTCTTACGTTCAGGAGTTTCAGGTCTTCCTTTACTCTATCCACCCATCTTTGTCTGGGGCGTCCTCGAGGCCTCTTAGTGTCGGGTTTCCAATTAGTTATTGATCCAATCATTCCCTCTGACCTCCATACATGTCCTGCCCAACTTATCCTTGTACTCTTCAGGGACCCAACAATTGTAGGTTCCTTGTATAAATCATACAATTCCCTGTTGCCTCTCACCTCATATTCTCCATCGTTATTTCTCTTTGGACCGAAGATTTTCCTTAATATCTTTCTCTCGAAAACTCCTAACTTTCCTTCGTCCGATTTTGTCGTGGCCCATGTACTACATGCATACAGGGCAACCGGTTTGACTATGACTTTGTATAACGTTATTTTAGAATTTATTGATAGTAATCTTGATTTGAAAAGTGGCATTAGGCTATAGTAGCATATATTTGCTGCTGTAATTCGTTTTTTAACTTCTTCGTGGCTATTAGCACTTTCATTGATCTCTGTGCCCAGATATTTGAAGCTCTGTACCCTTTCAAATTTGTAATCATCAACTTTTAAATAGCTAATATTGTGATTTCTTCTCGATAGTATCATATACTTTGTTTTTGACTCATTTATCTTTAAACCAATCTCTTTACCTTCATTTAGTAGGATGCTAGTTGTATTTCTCAGATCGTCCTCTGATTCGGCAATGAGGACTATGTCGTCAGCGTAAGCCACTACGGTTAGTTCGTTATTGTTGTTCATTTTTATTCCTTTGGCTTGGATTAGTACCTTTCGTATAACTGATTCTAAGGCGATATTAAATAAAGCTGGCGATAGGGCGTCTCCCTGTCTGAGTCCGGTTGTCACTGGGAACTCATCTGATACCTCTCCTCCAAAACTTACTTTACTCTTGGACTCATATGCACACGCTCTTATCATTCTGACTAGTTTTGCTGGTATTCCCATTTTGTTCATGACATTCCATAGTTTTTCCCTGTTAATCGAATCGTATGCTGCTTTATAATCTATGAACATAAGGTGGATGTCTTTATTGAACTCGTGACTCTTCTCAGCTAATTGTTTGATTATGTGGATTTGATCAACTGTTGATCTCCCTATCATGAACCCAGCTTGATATTCTCCTATTATTTCTTTAATATAAGGATTGATTCTGATCAGAAGAATGTTGGAGAGAATTTTATAAGTAGTGTTGAGTAAGGAGATCCCCCTGTAATTTTCGCACTCCATGATATCTCCTTTTTTAAAAACAGGACATAGGATGGATACTCTCCACGATTCTGGTATTTCCTCTTGTTCCCATATTATGTTTATTAATTTATGAAGTTGGTTTAGTAAGCATGGTCCACCCTTTTTTAAACATTCCGATACTATTTCATCTACGCCTGGTGCTTTACCATTCTTGAGCATATTTAATCCCATTTCTAATTCATTTTTAGACGGGGCTACGAGTAGCTGTTCTACTGTCATTAGCTCGTTTACAGTGATATTGATTATTGGCTGGTTCAAAATGTTTGCAAACATATCTTTGAATTCGCATGCGATCTCTTTGTTGCCTGTTAGAAGAGTTCCATCACTTTTCCTCATAACATTTGGTCTGGGCTTGTATCCATGTCTTACTTCATTTGCTTTTCTGAAAAATATTTTCGAATGGCTATTTCTATTATTTTCTATATTTTGTATGCGTTCTTTTTCCCATAGTCTCTTATTCGATCTAATCACCTTTTTTACCTCTCTTTGTTTAAGTGCCAACAATCTTTTGTTATCTTCATTAGGTTCATGTAGTACTTTCATGCGGGCTCTATCTTTTTCATGTAAAACTCTTTTACATTCTTCATTGAACCACATTTTCCTTGTTTTTTCTGGTATGTACCCAAGTACTTCTTCAGCTGTGGTTTTTACTATTTGTTCTACTTCTTTCCATATTTCACTTATATTTGGCCTTTCTTGTATATTCTGTATTTTCGACATTAACTTTTCTTGATATACTTTAGCAGTTGATGTTTTCAGTGCATCTCTATCTATTTTCCCATTATGTTTCTGTTTCTTTCGCCACTCTGTAGATATTCTGATATTTATTTTTGCTCTTACGAGGAAATGATCTGACATAGCACTACTCCCTCTCATGCTTCTTACATCTCTTATACAGGACTTAATCCGTGAATCAACTACTATGTGGTCTATTTGGTTTCTTACATATCCACATGGAGAAATCCATGTTTGTTTATGAATATTCTTGTGCGGGAAACATGTGGAACTTATAGTCATGTTTCTAGCAGCTGCAAATGAGATCAGTCTATAGCCATTATCATTAGATTCTTCATGTAAGCTTTCAGATCCTATTGTTGGTTTATATATCGTTTCCTTTCCAATTTTTGCATTAAAATCTCCGATCACTATTTTCGGTTTATCAGCTGGTAAAGAATCGTATAGCATGTCTAAATTATCAAAGAATTCATTTTTTATCTCCTCATTTTTATCTTCAGTGGGTGAATAACAGTTAATTAGGATCAGATTGTGCCACTTACATTTAAGTTCTACGTAACAGAGACGGTCATTTATAGGTTTGAAATTTGTAATTTGTGGTAGTAAATTGTCTTTAATTATAAACCCTACACCTCGTTCGTGTTTATCCTCACCGCTGTAAAACAGAGTCATTCCTTGAGACTTCAAGCTCCCTGAACTTGTCCATCTTACTTCTTGAATAGCAGTTATATCCATCTCGTATCGCTCAAGACACGATAAAGACGTTGTCAAAGCTCCAGTCCTAAACAAAGATCGCACGTTCCAAGTTCCAATTCGTAGGTCCGTTATCTCTTTAATCCGAGGCTTAGAAAAATGTTGTTGTTTCTTAACAATTTATTTTTTAAGTGGTAGGGTTGTCAGCCCTACGCACAACCCCCAACCTGGAGGACCAGTCCACACCAACTAATTAAAGTCAGTGTGGGGCTCGGGGCCCCGGGTTCGCCAAACCCGTAGTACTAGTTGCTTAGTACCCCCCTGAGGGGCATAACTGATATTAGGTACATAAAAATAGGATGATTAGCCACGTACATCTCATATTTTTTGTCTTAAATGAATTAGCTAAAATTCAGATTTTTGTAATGTTTAAGCATAATTAACGGTTAAAACCATAATTTTAAGCACAGTAGTTGCTGCAAATTGTATTTACTGTGAATTGACTCATTCTTTTATAAGACCTAAACAGACTGGTTAGGATCAACAATTATCTATTAGTCTTACAACATCACAATACTAGAAAATAAGAATCAATTAGATTACAATTGATTTATGATTGGGTAATTTTTAAATACTATCATTGATTTGTTTCCAATTGAAAAATGGTATTATTAAATGACTTTTAAGAAATATGTAATAAATAAATCAATAATAATACATATTTATAAATATGTAGTCTAATTTCTATATTTCACATATAAATCTTTTTATTATTATATACATATACTTTTTAATTTTTAGTCCTCTTATTTAATTAACTCATGCAGTCAATAGACTCTAATATATTGGTTACAATGTGATTTTAATAAAAAATAGTACTTATTACTTTACTTAAAACTTTTGTAGTGATATAAATTTATATTTTTTCAAGTGTTTGCAAATATTATTTGAATGAGCGAATTCTGAGTTACACACTAGTTATACTAAAGATATATTATAATCATAATGTCCAAGATGATGTCTTACTCAACACTAATTACAACCTTTCCATATTTACAGTTTAAGATCATGTTGAAAATTAATTCTAAAAGAAAATATACTAAAATTAATGTACCGGCTCCTGATCCGTATGGAATCTGTGTTTGTTGCCACGTACTCATTGCAAATGTTGTTTATACACTGGTTTAATTAATCTGAAAAATAAGTCATATCATTATTTAAATCTCAATTACCATAAAACACAAAAACAAAGTGTATACTTTTAAGAATGTTTATATTAGTGAAACTACTTAGTAATACCTTAAAATATGTTTTGAAATACAAACATGAGTTAAGTAATGAAATAATAATTAAGCCAGGGATTTTCAAACTTTTTATGGCAAGGCTCATTTTAGAAAATGTTTAATTTGACCAACTGATGACCTACTAATGACTTTTTTTTCATTGTTGATTTGTTTTAACTTTAGTGTGATAGTACCATAATATTAAGTCACTGGTAAATTTAAATATGTAATGTAATAATGTATGATAAGCATTATATAGACTATGTATTATTGCTAGATAAATGTAAATACTAAATACATATGTATCTAATATTGTATACTTAACATAAAGGAAACAATATTAAACACTACGACTAATAATATAATAGTAAAAATTTAAAGAAGGAACAAATAACACTAAAAATATTACCTTATTTTTAAAGAGTGCAAATTTTATCTTAGTCTTAAACAA